GGGGAGGGGATCCTGGCTTTGACTCTCCAGCTGAGACCCCACCCGCTGCCTCTCGGCGCACCCCAGGGCCTCGCTGGACGTTGTCCCTCCGCTCGTTCCACAGGGCAGCTACAACCAGCCGCTGGGCACGTCCAGCACTCACGCGGACACCCTGTTCCTGGATTGCACCCTGCGGGGGCTGCAGCTGGAGTCCTCAGACGCCTGCACCGACTGCCTCTCCCGGCTGCTGCTGCTCTTGCGGCCTCAGGACCCTGGGCCCCCGGATCCCCTGGAGGAGCCGCCCCCCACTCTGGGGGAGGAATTTGGGGTGCTTTGGAAGGTGGACCTCAAGGTGGAGGACGTCAACCTCTTTACGCTCTCCAGCTTGGCAGGTAAGACTTGGGGGGCAGCGGCCTTGGATGACTCGGGGGGGGGGGGGTTAGAACAAATTTTATTAATTTTCAAAAACAATACACAAACCAACAAAACATAAAATGTAAGAACATAGAACATCTTTTAAGAAAACAAATAAAACATCTTGTTTAAGTAGAGCATAGTTCCAAATTATCCCATTTTCATACAAACACAATTTAATATGCATTTTACATATTCAACTTCATATCTTATTACTCTTTTTCCAATTTCTCACTATTTTTCCCTTTACTTCTATTCAATTTTATTCATTAAACTTATACTTTCATCTATCTTAGCCCCGGGTTACATCTTTTTGTGCAGACATAAATCAAATTCATGCTCACCTTATATGCTATTTCAATCTTATTTAACATTCTATACTTTCTATATGTCTTCTCTCCTCTTTTCACTCTCTTAATTCTATTTTATTTACTTCATCTCAATTTAAATCATTATACTTTTGATCTTTTGTCCGTTCTTTTTCAATTGTCTATTTATCTTTTCTCTTTAATACAATTCTTTTTTCCTGTAATCAGTGGTTGAAGTATGACGCCTTTCTATCTTTCCCCCAATTTAACACTTAAAATACTACATAATTTCCATTCTGATTCTGCTTAGTACATTCTAAATAACTTTTTAAAATAAAAAAAAACATAATAAGCTTATAATATAGTAAAAACAATGTTCCATAACAAATTAATTAGTTAAACTCTATTATTAAATCTTAGGTATTTTACACATTCCCTACAATATTCTATTAACACATATAATATTCCAGTTTTCTAACTCTATTTCAAATACAAATACTACAATACAATCTTGTGTACTTTTGCAGAATCTCTTTAAATCGTATTTTACCCTTTATCTCTAAAAACCCCCCTGTTTTTTAGCATCTTGTTTTAGGCCTTTATAACTTCTTTTTCCTTTTTCCCTTCCTTTCTTGTTAAATCTAACCTTTTTACCCCCCACCCCATCTCTCAATCTCCACCCTTTTAGTCTCCCCTCTCTGTTGTATTTCTCTTTTCTGTTGCTTTCTGACATTATATCGATTTTTCACCTTATTTTTCCCTTTCTTGGTTGTTTTTTTAGATCTTGAATTCTCCATTTTCTTTCCGCCTTTTCCCTTTTCTTCATCAACTAAAATAGTTTGTCCATTAAAGATGGCTTCTCCTTCTTCCTCCCAGCTTTCTGATTGCTGTATTTCCTGATAGGTAGAAATCGCCATTTCTAAGAAGTAGAAAACAGATCCAAAAGAGCCCTTGCCTTCTTGTTCCTCTTCTTTTAGCTTTTTAAATTCCATTTTCAATTCTTCCACGGATAATGCCATTGTTTTATTTTTATTTTTTTAAACAATCCAAGTGTTTTTAGACTTTCAAAAAATAGTTTGCAAAAGGGGGGGGTGTCTTTTGTACCTTGGGAAAGTAGCAGAGAGGAGGAGACCCCTTTGCTTGAGGGGGGAGGCTGAGGCAGGGACTGGCCCTTCTGGGCCCCAGCTTTCAACTTCTGAACCCAGAAATTATTTTGAGGACAGTTGTGGGGTGGACAGTTGTGCCCGGGCCTCACTGAATGTCTCTGTGTTTCTCTCTCTTTCTCTTTCTCTCTCTTTCTCTCTCTTTCTTTCTCTCTCTCTTCTTTCTCTCTTTCTCTTTTTTCTTTCTCTTTCTCTTTTCTTTCTCTTTCTTCTTACTCTCCCTTTTCGCTTTCTTCTTTCTCTTTCTCTCTTCTTTCTCTCTCTCTCTTTTCTTTCTCTTTCTCCCTCTCTTCTTTCTGTTTTTCTTTCTTTTTTCTTTCTCTCCCTTTCTCTTTCTCTCTCTCTCCCTCCCTCTTTCGTCCAGGGGCCACAGAGCTTCGGGTGGACACCCTGACCACGCTGGGCAGTGCCGAGAGCTGTACCATCAGCATCCAGGGGGTGGCGCTGTCCCTGGTGAAGAGCCTAGCGGAGAAGATGCAGCCCTGTTGCAAAGCCCCCGCCATCCCCAGCCCAGTGGCTGGCCTGGCCGCCCTCTGCCTCACCTACCGCAGCAGCATCCGCTCCCTGGAGGTGCCTCTCCTTCCTCTCCCTCGCTGGTCGCCTCCCCCTGCCCCAATCGCTTTGCAAGGGAACTGGGTTCCCGCCCCATCTGGAGTCCCGCCCAAGGAAGAGGCCACCTCCGGGGAGTCCAGCCCAAGCAGTCCAGGGAGGGGGGCTCGTGGGGGGCTTTCAGGTCCGAGGTAACATTGCCCCCTCCCAGGATCACTCAGGGCCAGCCTCGGTTGGCATCGTTGTTTCCAACTCTCCTCAACTCCCCCTCTTGGGGTGTCCGAGGAACGGGCTAGAGAAAATGGGGAATGAGGGGGGCTCGACAGGCAGCCTTGTTTGGGAGGGGGTCTCATCACCCAAGGTGTCCTTCCCCAGGTGCAATGCGGAGAACACCTGACGCTGCTCTGGAGCCTGGCCACCCACATGTACCTGTTTGAGCACCTGCTGGCCACTCGGCGCTGCTTCGAGACGCTGCAAAGCCTGCTGTCGCCCGCCAAGCCCACCTCTGCGACCCTTCCCCGGCAGGGCCCCGAAGGCCGCCTCCCTGCCCAGGACGGGGCCCCTTTCCCTGAGGGCCCGGCCCCCAGGAGGCTGCTGGGGCTGACCCTGGAGTTCAGCTCTCTGAAGGTGACCGCCTTCGTGTCGGAGAGCCGTTACTTGAGCCTGGCGGCCGAGCGGCTTTTACTCAATCGGCACGGTGCGTCCCTCCACGCCTACTGCCCGGGGCTGGTGGCCGGCTTTGACGGCAACAGCATCCTGGTCCTGAAGGAGGTGGAGCTGCAGGCCCTGCCGGAGCTGGAGGAGATGATCCTGCACCGAGGCCCCTTTCCCAACCTCTGCACTTTGCGCAACCGCGTCTGGGCCCTTTCCTGCGCCAGCGTGGCAGTGGAGTTCCCCTACCAGTACGACTTCTCGGCTACGTTGGACGAGGCGCTGGGCGTGCAGAAGTGGCTGAGGGGGCTCCACGGGAGGAAGGCCGCCGCCAGCGAGGCCCCACCCGGCCCCTTGCCCCCCGACCTGCTGCTCAAGGTCCAGCACTTCTCCTGGGTCTTCCTGGACGACGTCTTCGAGGTGAAGCTGCGCGACAACTACGAGCTGATGAAGGACGAGAGCAAGGAGAGCGCCAAGCGGCTGCACCTGCTGGACGCCAAGGTGGCCGCCCTGCGCAAGCAGCACGGGGAGCTGCTCCCGGCCCGGAAGATCGAGGAGCTGTACGCCTCCCTGGAGAAGAAGAACATCGAGATCTACCTGCAGCGCTCCCACCGGCTCTACGCCAACACGCCCATGCGCAAGGCGCTCATCACGTGGACCCTGTGCGGCCTGGAGCTGGCGGCGCTGGCGGATGAGGCCTTCTCCGGGGCGGAGCGGGTGCTGCAGCAGATCCGGGACATGGATGCCGCCAGCCCCTTCCCCCCTGAGGGCCTGGAGCTCCTCACCCACTGGTGCCGCATGGTCAAGGGAAGCGTCAAGACTTTCTTCGGTGAGTGCGCGGCCGGGCTGCATGGCGTACCGGGGCCAGGGGTGGAATTCTGACGGTTTGGACCGGTTCGGGCGAACTGGTTCTCCAAACCAGTAGTTGAACCGACCGGCTGGCCCTGCCCTCCCCTCCCCTCCCCGGAGTCTCCACGCGGCCCGTTTTGGAGGCAGGTAAGGGCAGGGTCTGTGCGGAGGCTCTGGGAGGGGGAAAAATGGCCGTCCGGGAAGCTCCAGTACGCCACGCCCACCCAGCAACCGGGCAGCGAACCGATTGCCGGGATGTTTGAATTCCACCCCCGATCAGGGCCTGTCTGTCAACTTCTGTGCCTTCATGTGTTGAGGAATGTGGCGATTCGATGTTCTATTTGTTGTTCAGTTGCTAAATTGGGTCCGAATCTTTGTGACCCCCATGGAGCAGGGCTCTCCCACCTTGACCACGCTAAGCCTGGGGGATGTCAACTCCCAGAATTCCCCATTTTTTCCCCCCTAAATAAATGCATCATTTTTCTAGATAAATAAATGAATCTGTTTTTCTGAACAGCTTTCTCTAAACCAGGGGTCCCCCAAACTTGGCCCCTTTAAGACTGGTGGACTTCAACTCTCAGAATTCTCCAGGCAGTTTCACCAGCCTTAAAAGCGGCCAAGGTGGGAGATCCCTGGTCTGCTGGCTGGGGAATTCTGGGAGCCGAAGTCCCCAAGTCTTAAAGGGGCCTGATCCCTCCCTTGTCGGGATTCTGGCAGTGACCCCCATTTAAATCCTGAGTGTCGAGCCAAACTTGCAAAACTTCAAAAGGATTTATTAGGAGTTGACATGCCGGCATTGCCTGGGTGCAGCCGACTCTGAGGTACATCATTCACTGTCACCCTTGACCCTGGTTTTTGCCCCCCCCCCAACCCCTGGGTGTATCGTAATTTGTATCCTCCAATGGGACATGTCCATAGCCCAGAGCCATCAATCAGGATCTCCAGTTAGAATTTTGCGAGGCAGAAACTTCAGTCACCTAGTTACTATGTTTGAAAAGCTAAAAGGGGGGGGGGTCTAAGCTTTGCTGAAGGAAGGGGGATGCAAGACAAGAGCTAACTAGAGGACAGCCAAACGTGCCTGGGGACTGTCGAATGTGAAAACGGGCCATGGGTGCCCCCGTGGATCTGGGGTTACAGCGAGGCTCTTCTGGCTATGGGGGGCCCCTCCGTTGAACGCCATAAGCTCTCCCCTAGGAGCCGTTTGAAGAGAAAAGAGGTGAAGGAGCCCCCCCCCCCCGCCCCCCCCCCCCCTCTCCCCGCGGGCCCCCTCCCCCCCTCCCCCCCCCCCCCCAGTGCGGATCCGGGACTACCCCCGTTATTTATTCGAGATCCGGGACTGGAGGCTGTCGGGCCGGCTGGCCGGTGCAGAGACCCCTGGGCAGCCCTGCTCTCGCCGGCGTCAGAAACTGGAGCTGGGGGCCCCGTGGGGCCCTGTGACCGTGGAGAGGAACATGCCGCCCTTGAAGTTCTACCACGACTTCTGCTGTAAGTCCCGCTGGGGGAGAACGGGGGGGGGGGGGGGGGGCTGGCTGGTGTAACCCGGGCAGCCCCCCCGCCCTCCCTGAATTGTCCCGAATTGTGGGTTGGGGCGAGGAGGGGACTCTGACGCCATTGGGGGGGGGGGGGGGGAAGGGCCTCTGATCCCCCTTATTGCTCCCCTCCTCTTCCAATGCCCCTAATTCCCCAACCCCCTTGTCAGGATTCCGGCAGTGACCCCCCCATTTAAATCCTGAGTCTCGGGCCAAACTTCCAAAACTTCCAAAGGATTTATTGGGAGTGAACAGGTCCAACACTGTGACACGTCATTCCTTGTCCCCCTTGACCCTGGTTCTCCCCCACACACACACACCTCTTGGGTGTATCCTAATTCATATCCTCCAATGGGACACGTCCATAGCCCAGAGTCATCCATCAGACTCTCCAGTTAGAATTTTGCGCGCAGCAGAAACTTCAGTCGCCTAGTTACTATCTTTGAAAAAACATTTATGGAATGCACTTTCGATTTCCAAGCTGCCGCACTGCTCCCCCCTCCCTTTCTGTTATGGCAACTCTTAAAAAGACCCTAGCGATATTTGATGAGTTGACCCCCCTCTCCTCCTTTGCCCCCCCACCCCAGCCGAGGTCTACCAGTTTACCATCGTCTGGGGGCCCTGCTGGGACCCCGCCTGGACCCTCATTGGACAGGCCATCGACCTGCTGACCAAGCCTTCCGAAGACCCCAGCCCGCCTCTCCCCTGGTGGGACAAGAGCCGCCTGCTGCTGCACGGC